GGCCCCTAAGTAGTTCCGTTTATGGTTTATACTTAGAATCCTATAAGGTAATCCCAAAAAGGAACTACTTAGGGGCCTATGGGTACATCGGGCTCACTGTTATGCCGAAGCCGCAGTCTTGTGGGGATGGGAGCAGGGACAGTAGAAATGCAAAGCCCTGAACTCACACCCTCTCCGTAACACCGAGTTGCACACAACGAAGGCCAAACACTCTAAGTTTAGTGAAGGCCGCAAAAATGCCAGATCCTTTTCTTTGGATGCTGCGGTTGAGGGCGCATACGCCCCCGCCCGATTTTTCAGCGCTTTGTCATGCCCATTAGCCACGGCCACATGCAAAGCAAGGGCCTTGCTTGCTATAGAGGCCTTCATGATTGGGCTGGGGGTCTGGGGTATATTATACTCCAAGTGTAGTAGGCCTCCGGGACTACCAAGCGGGCAGTACCTATAATGCCATTAGGGAAGATTAGGGACTATGACCACTAATTCTGCCACTAGGGAATATTAGGGACCATGACCACTAATTATGCGACTAGGGAATATTAGGGACTGGAAGGGGGTAGCATTACTAATTACTGCCCATAGGCTCCTAAGTAGTTCCTTTTTTTGTGGTTTATGTTTAGAACCCTATAAGGTAATCCCAAAAAGGAACTACTTAGGGGCCTATGGGTAATTTGACTAATTATTCCACTCCTCCTCCGGACTCGAGTCCCCATCCGATCTGTTCCACAGGCTACACTGAATCGTCCTTCCACCACGGAACTCGTACGCAGCCACCAGCATGGCCACGAGCGCCCCGAAGGGCACATAGAGGAAGACAAGGAGGTAGTAAACCGGCCGCCACCATCTGAGAGAATCAGCTTCCTGTTTTGGGTTCACCAGGGAAAGCAATGGGCTTGTGCCTGTGAGGTTGCCTGGAAACTCTTTGCCAGCAGCTTGCAATTCCCTATGAAAGGTATCTTTGCTTGCATCTGTGATCATGGGGGCGAACATCTCCGGTGTCATCATGAAACCACACAAGCCTCGACCGGGGCGGCATTCGGGCTTCTCGGGAGGTGCGGGCACCTCCCAGATAGATCCGGTAATGGCCCATGCGCAGGCACGTGGCTCCGTGCAATCATCGGAGACCACATAAAAAGGGCTGACATCGCATCGAAAGACTGGTCGGACCACGAAGTGACAGTCTTTCCACTCAGTAACCCTTCCTTTCTGGCGTTCGGCATAGCAGTGCGTAATGTTAATGGGAATTGCGCTGGGCATGTGATGATCTTCCGACAGAGAGCCGTCCTCAAAGTAGATGCTGCCCTGGAAGTCCCTCCACTCCTCTGTGCAAATGCCTACATGTTCCAGAGGCTTTAGAGAATCGATCTGCCAAGACCTAAGCACGGGAGAGCCCGTGCCGGTAGCAAGATACATCACAAAGGCGCAGACGAAGAAGCATGGGCAGGTGCAGCAAGCACCGACAGGGCTGTCCCCGATGGCCATGAAGATCAACCCCCAAGTCAGGAAGTTGAAGCCTAGACCTCCAAAGAAGAACACCGCCATGGCAGGGAATATGACCAAGAGACCACACAAGCCAAGTGAGCTCATGATTGAGGTCCTTAGTTGCTGAGTTCATAAGCACCAAAAAAAGGGTACACTTTCAGTTCTATAAAGGGATCATATACTATCCCAAAAAGCTTTAGACATGTACTCCCTAAACCTGAACCCTAAACCCTCATTCAGCCACTAAGGGTCGAGTAGGTTAGCACAAGCACCAGGCCAGTATACGGCACTAAGCTTGCCAGGCTCAGGAGGGCCGCGGCCCCGGTGTTCTCTTCCATCGCTCGGCTTAGGGTTTCTTTGGGGCCCTTAGGATTTAGGGGTTTAGGGGTTTAGGGGTTTAGGGTTTAGGGTTTTGGGTTTACGGTTTTGGGTTTAGGGGTTTAGGGTTTTGGGTTTGGGGTTTAGGATTTAGGGAAGATTGACCTGAAACCATCTTCTTTTAAGGACTTCTATAAGGAAATCATACCAAGGAGCCCTATAACGATAGGTTCTTTGGGGTTTAGGTAAACCTAAACTTGGGGCCCTCAGCCCTAAACCATTAAGGAAGTTGACCTGAGCAGTCCGCTACCGAAACCACAGTCTCAGAATGTCGCACACCCCTGTGGCGAAACCCTACGACTCCACATTGCTACCCGAAATGCGTCAAAAAGGGCGTCCGGTTTAGGGTTTAGGGTTTAGAAAGACCAGATTTTGGGGGGCCTTTGAGCCTTTTCTAGGATCGGGGCAAGTGCACGAGCGAAAGACAAGCTGCGAGAATTCCAGATCGACAGCCTCTGTGCGCGTTGTCCGGGGGCTTTGTCCAAGCACTAAATCTAAATTACCAAAATCGGGATACCCATAGGCCCCTAAGTAGTTCCTTCTTGTGGTTTATATTTAGGATCCTTTAAGGTAATCCCAAAAAGGAACTACTTAGGGGCCTATGGGTGGACTGTATAATTAGCTAACCTGCTTTCCCCACCCTAGCTGCAATCAAGTACCCTACGACTCTCAAAAGGCCTTATGTTATATATATATACATACATATACATATATACATATACAACCCTGCACAAATGATTGTTTTCTCAAACCCTTGCAGCGAAAGCAAATCCCCCAAACCCCAAGGAACCCCGTACACAGCTCCCGACCCCACCCTCAGAGGAACCCATGAACCCCTATACAGGAACCCACGAAGCCCTATAGAACCCTTAGAGGAACCCACGAAGCCCTATAGGACCCTTAGAGGAACTCATGAACCCCTATAGAACCCTTAGCCGAACCCAGGAACCTCCATAGAACCCTTAGAGGCACCCATGAAGCCGTATAGAATCCTTTGAACCCCTAGAACCCCATGAAGCCTTATAGGACCCTTAGCCGAACCCAAGAACCCCTATAGAACCCTAAACCCTAAACCCTAAACCCTGGATCCTAAACCCTGAAGCTCTATAGAACCCTTAGCCGAACCCAGGAACCTCCATAGAACCCTTAGAGGAACCCATGAAGCCCTATAGAATCCTTGGAACCCCTAGAACCCCATGAAGCCTTATAGGACCCTTAGCCGAACCCCGGGACCTAAAGGAACCCAAAGCCCCATAGGACCCTTAAGGGAGCCCAGGAGCCCATTAGAACCCTTAGAGCAACCCAGGAACCCCTACAGAACCCTAAACCCTAAAACCTAAACCCTAAACCCTAAACTTAAAGGAACCCCTGAAGCTCCATAGAACCCTAAACCCTAAACCCTAAACCCTAAACTTAAAGGAACCCCTGAAGCTCCATAGAACCCTTAGAGGAACCCACCCTAAACCCTAAACCCTAAACCCCTACAGATCCCTTAAAGGAGCCCCTGAACCCCCTATAGAACCCTTAAAGGAACCCCTGAACCCCATGAACCCCTTTAGAAGCCTTAAAGGAACCCCTGAACCCCCTATAGAAGCCCCTTTAGAACCCTTAAAGGAACCCCTGAACCCCCTACAGAACCCTCAAATGAAATCTCCTCTTCTTCCGCCCATCGCCTCAGCTCGCCGGCCCAATGCCGCAGCTCCTGGCAGTCGACGCAAAAAAGGGCCCGGAGTTTTTTTCTTTCTTTGGGGTTTTTGGGGGTTTGGGGTTTTTGGGTTTTTTGGGGGTTTAGGGGGTTTTAGGGTTTTTGGGGGTTTTGGGGTTTTTGGGTTTTGGGGTTTAGGGTTTAGGGTCTAGGGTTTAGGGTCTAGGGTCTGGGTTTGAAGGTTTAGTTTAGGGTTTCGTGCTTTTTTAAACGTATTTAAGATTGAGGTTGTAGGCTTTAATTTTAAGGTTGAGGTTGTAAGGGTTTGCAACATGAGGTTTAGGTTTCAAGGCTTAGGATTTCAAACACTTTAGGTTTAGGTGTTAAGGTGTAGGAATCACTCTTGTGAGGAGTTCTGTAACTTAGCCTCCCTGTCGGTGTGCAGGAGGTAAACAATGACGTACCTTGTGGGGATCCGGAAAGGACTGAATGTAGCAATCCGTAACGAAATCTGATTAATTTCAATAATTACAAGTGAGCACCCCACGCTTCGTAGGCCGCAGCATTGACACAATCCCAAGCCCGAAATCCCGCCAGAACTCAACGCCCTAACAGCACTGTACGGTCCATACAAAAGCCAAACTTTCTGCAAGAACCCTGATCAGGGCTTTCGGGCTTGCTGGGCTGGTTGAGAAGTTTAGGGTTTAGGAAGTACTGCTTCACACTTGTTTAGCTACCGAGGGTCAAGAGCTGAAGAGCTGCACTGCTTTAAAGCGGTTGAGGCCCCGAGCCCACAACAAAGCCCTGTAAGTCAATGTAATTCACCAACAAGAAAAGGCAGCCTTCCCAGGATATGGCGAGGTGAGAGGCCGCGGGTTGGTGCTTAAGCTTAAGATACCCATAGGCCCCTAAGTAGTTCCTTTTTATGATTTATATTTAGAACCCTATAAGGTAATCCCAAAAAGGAACTACTTATATGGGTAATGAGGCTTGAGGGCAAGCATTGAACTGCCTCGGCGTGCTCCGCTGCAGTCTTATGGGTGGAGGTACTTCCCGTGTCACCGCCTTGGCTACCTGGCTGCGGGAGGACAGGGTTTGATGAAAAAGAAAAACCTGCATTACCCAGAATAAGGAATATAGACCCATAATTCCCATAGTTTAGGGTCCTTAAGGTAATGCTAAGGCTTTACACCATCAGCAGTAGGTTTGAAGAGGCTTCGGGGTGAAAGTTCAGATCTACAGTCCGGGGGTTCTGGTTCGACGGACCACGCCTCGAATCACCGAGTCGGGCTTTGTTTTTTTGGTCACAGCTGCTGTGCTTTTATGCTATGAGATTTTTGGCTGCTGACCCGAGTTCCCAACATACCCTCATCCCCCATCCCCATAAACCCCTAAACCATTACGTTCATCCCTAACATCTCAAAAAGCAACCCGGCAATGCGAGTCCCTGAACCGTTTTCCCTAAAGGTTTGCTCTGGCCAGTCTTAAACCTGTGTCACCCAAAAAACCCTCCAAAAGGCCCGCTATGACTTATGCAACCCTGGAAATACACCCAAACCGGGACTCGAAGCTCCGTGTAAATCTTGTTCGGCACGGTTTAGGGTTTAGGGTTTAGGTTTTTGGGGCTTAGGGTTTAGGGCTTAGTCTTGAAGGCCTAGGGTTTAGGGTTTAACCTTTAGGGCTTATAGGGTTGAGGGTTGCCTGATTGATGATTTGGAACAATCGGGCTTCCCCGGCTTTGAATTTGCTTGCTGGACTACCTAGTAACACCAACTTCTTAAAGCGGGGTTAGGGCGCAGGGTTTAGGGGTATGGGTGCCTGACTAACTGACTAGTGGCACTAAACCCTAAACCCTAAACCCCTAAACCGTAAACCCCTGAAGAAGGGGGGGGGGGGTGCTTGAGCTATTTTCGTCTTGTCGCCCACTTTGCTATAGCCCCTGTATTAGGACTCAGAGCTCTCTCCTCAATTAAGAGCGCCTGAGATCCCGAAGTAGCACAAAGAAGGGCGATTGCTTCAAATCCTAGCGTGCTGAGAAATATGTAGCGATCTTATAATCAGGTCCTCTAAGTCCCACACCGAAGTGTCGTAGCTGGTGGTCATGTTGCATATTGTTTAAAGTTCACCCTGATTTAACAACATACCGATGCCAAACAAATAAATAACGGACACACATAAGACGCATGGGTCTGCGCCTGAAGGTTATGTCCGTGGCATAGCAGCAGACTGCTGTCTCATCAGGACGCCCGGCTTCTGCAGTGAGCCCAATACCCCTTAATTAAGGACTATAGCATAGATCATAATATGAAACCCCTTATACTTTAAGGTCTATTCCTTAATTAAGGGGGTATTGGGCTCTCTGGGTCCAAAGCGACTCAGAAGTCGAAGGAGCCCTCGCTCCATGGCTGGCCGATGATTTTATTCAAGTCACTGGACTACGCATAGCTCCCTAAGTAGTTCCGTTTTGGGACCACCTTATAGGATTCTAAATATAAACCACAAAAAGGAACTACTTAGGGGCCTATGGGTACGCTTGTCCAGCAGCAGCCTCCTTCATGCTTGAAGGGGCTGTTTCATGCCAAGCAGCTGCAGTTATTGAAACCAGAACATGAAATACCCACCTCTGAACCTACGTAGGACCCTGTTACATGAAGTGAAGGGATCAGGACATAAATTGAAACCTGATCCCAAATCGACCAAACACCTCTGCCCGAACTTTTTAGATGGTGCAGTTTCCAGGCCCCAGAACCAAAACACTCTCAACCCGTATCCCTAAACCCTGATCGCTAGAGAGAGAGAGAGAGAGAGAGAGAGAGAGAGAGAGATATATATATATATATATACATTTATAGCATCTCACTAAACCCTAAAACCCTATAATCCCTAATCCCTATAATCCCTGAACCCTGAACCCTAAACCCTATAATCCCTGAACCAAAATCCCAATTCCGACATGAACTCAGCTCAAGCGACCTCGGGGCCACGGAATAACTGCCTCAGGGTCGCTGTGCCTGACGGGATCTAGGGCTTAGGCTTTCAGGGTTTAGGGTGTAGGGTTTCAGGGTTTAGGGTTTAGGGTTTAGGGCGTAGGG